GTTTTTTCTAAGATAACATCCTTCTAATATTTTGGTCTATTCAGACGTTTTCTTCCTTGGAAACACCATTGTGGCAGAAAACAGTACATTTTGTTCACCTTACTCCTTTAGCAAAACAAAGCATTTGCAACACTGTGTTGGGCTCAAAGTCTCATTTTAAGGACTTCTTGGTCTTGGGAGCCCTAGCGAGAGGGCGATGCTGTGGTCAGGGTAGGAGCAGTGGTGACGGAGAGGAGGGGAGGCTGCGAGCTGCCTCTGGGGTGGCATCAGCAGTCTTTGTCCAGGTGGGTGTGGGAGCAGACAGGGAGGAGGCCCGGATGGTGGGGCGATTTCTAGCACAGCCAGCTGGGTGTGTGGCTGCTGATGTGGCTACGTGGAGGTGGCCCTGGGATTCGGGCTTTTCCTGGTCATGGGTGTGGATTCCAGTTGAGCCCAGAAACGCCTGAATGGAGCCTCCTGTTGTTCCCTCCCGCCTGCCTGCCTGCCTTCCCTGAATCAATCCCTATAGGCCAAGGCAGCCTGAGTTACTCGAGGCCTGAAACCCCGTCTCTCTCCACAGGGACATTGGGGGCAATGAGACAGTGACGCTGCGCCAGACGTTTGTGCCTGTGAGACCAGGCCCCCGCCAGCTCATTGCCAGCTTGGACAGCCCCCAGCTCTCCCAGGTGCACGGTGTCATCCAGGTGGATGTGGCCCCAGCCTCTGGGGGCGGGGTTTTCTCAGAAGCTGGAGGTGACAGTCGCTCAGGGGAGTCCATCCCTATGGCATCTCGAGGTGGAGCTTAGCCCTGGACCAGGAGCAATGGGACTGAAGTCAGATGAGCAAGGACACTGCCCCAAGATGTGGGGCCCAACACAGAGCTGCTCCCCAGGAGCTCAGGAGAGAGCTGGGGCACCTATGGAGGGAGCCAGTCTTTACCTGCATGGGGTGGCACAGGGGGTAATAAACTGTTTTTTAATGAAACTGCAGTTCTGTCCCTCTGTCAGCCTGCACCAGCCTGCCCTGGTTCTGAGAATCCCAGCTGGCAGCTGATGGTGCCAGCTCAGCAACCCTTGAGGCAGGGCCTGCTCAGGGTCAGGGCAGCCTCCCTGGCTTCCCCACCCCTGGCTGCTGCTGCCACCCAAATCTCTCTCTCGAAGCCCCGTGTGGTGGGCATGACTTTCGCCTTTGCACAGCACCCCCTGTGGAAACAAGGCCCACATTCCCTTCCGTGGGCATGCTGGAGGTAGACACAGGTTGGAGGACTCTCTGAGCAGTACCGTCCACCTTCTAATGTTTCCAAATACGTTACTCTAAGAATTTTTATAAAACTAATACATGGCCAGTGTTGAACATTAAGTAAACACAGAAAATTGTAAAGGGGAAAGTAATGGTCCTCAAGCATGGTGGAGAAAATATCTGCTGACATTGCGTTTCATTTGCTGCCTTCCCCACATATAACCTGTGCTGAGCATCTCCCCACTGCACTAAGGACGCTTTGAAAACATCCTTTTAAGGGGCTGGAAGCTTTGCTCCCAGGCCGCCGTCCTGTCCCTCCTGTATCTCAAAAGGCTGCCTTCCCTGTCTCCTTGGCTGCTGCTTCCTCCTCTGCTCTCGGGGTGCCTGAGAGACTTGGGGTTGCTCCCAGGTGCTCTCTCACCCAGCTCCACCTGCCTGGTTGACAGCACCCAACCTCAAGGCTCTAAGGAGCACCGGTTTCCACACCTGTGTCCCAGACCTGCTGTTTAGCTCAGCCCCGCTCCACCTTCTCACCATCTCTGACATCCAGCAGATGCTCCGCGTGACACGTGACTCCTGGCTTCCCTGCAACACGTCCTCCCACAGCCACCCCATCCCAGCCAGTGGCAGCTCCTTTCCTCCAAACTCTTGGGCTCCTCATCTTAGAGTCCTCTTTGCCCCTTCTCTCTCTCTCACCCCACACCCACTCTGTCAGCAAGTGTTCTGGGTTCGATTTTCCATACATGTGTCCAGAATCTGACTGCTCCCATCACCTGTGTGGCTACTGCTCCGCAAGAGCTTCCTCATCTCTCGCCTGGGTTACAGGACCAGCTTTCCAGTCCTTTCCTTGCCTCAGTACCTGCCCTGTCATCCCCAACTCCTCACACACCAGGCAGAATAAGCAGGTGAGTCTGCCTGTGTCAGTCCTCTACTCCAAAACTACTGGCTTCACCCAAAAAAGGATCCATACAATTACCTGTAACTCTGACCTCGGCCCATTTCTCTCCCCGACTTAGTCTGTCCTGGCTCCCACCCACTGGCTTTCCTGCACAGTGACGGGCCCACCCTGCTGCAGGGCCTCTGCATGCTGTGTTCTCTGAATGTCTTCCTTGAAAGTCTCTATGGCTTGTTCCCTCATCTCCTTTAAGTCTCAAGAGTCACCATCTTGGTGAACTCTCCTCACCCTATTTACAAATTGTACTGACCAGGCATGGAGGCGCATATTTACAGCGTGGGCATTCTGGGAGCCCGGAGCAAGAGGACTCACTGGAAGTTCGGTCCATCCTGGGAACTAGCAGCCTAGTGACCCTGTCTCAAAAAGTGAGGGCAGGCGGGCGGTTCCAATGAAGCAAAGCTCTGGGTTCAAACCCCAGTACCACTGGATGGGGAGATAAGGAAAAACAAAAAGAAGCTGTTGTGACATCATACACTTCCTGTCCCCTTCAGGCTTTTTCTCCATAGCTCATATATCAGCATCTGAAAAATGTATGTATTTAATTCTTTGCATTCTTGGCTTATTAAATTCTCTTTTCCTGATCTATCCATCATAGTTCAAGCTGCCTCCCCCTCCTCCTCCCTCACTTGGACTGACTTGTGCTTTCACCGGCCCTCCCCATCCCTTCTATTCTCAGCTCGGCAGCCAGAGGATCCTTCAAAATGTCAGTGAGGTCAGGTTGCCCATCCGCTTACCTCCCTCACCAGCTCCTCCTCTCATGCAAAAGAGTACCAGGGACCTCATGGCCGCCCTCAGGGCCCTGCAGGGGTGGCCCAGTCCTCCTCCCTCTGATCGACTGACCCACTGCACCCCGCCCCAGTTACTCTGCTCCACCTCTCTGGTGTTTCTTGGACCCTCCAGATACACTCTCCCCTCAGGGCCTCTGTGGCTGCTCTTCCTCCGCCAGGAACACGCCTTTTCCACACACCAGCATGGCCAGTGCCCTCCCCTCCCTTCAGATCTCTCCTTCAGCAGCAGTGCCTTAGTAAGGCCTTTTCTGGGCATCTCCTGGAGGCCAGAAGATTAAACACTGAAATACATTCCCTTCCTCACCATCACTTTTTCCTGTTTTTTTTTTTTTTTCCCCTATCCAAGTGCTAACCAGCCCCAACCCTGCTTCCTTCTGAGATCAGACTCATCAGAGTAGCATGACCATAGACCCCTGCTTTTTTCCATCCAAAGCATTTATCCGCATCTAACACACTAAATATCTTAACTTTGCATGTTTATTGTGCCTCCCCTCCCCAACTAAAATTAAAGGCCACAGAACAGTGATTTCTATGATTATTCTCTTATAGCCAAGAAAGATAGAGAGATATGCTTATTTTAATTTTTTTTTTTTTTTTGGTAGTTTTTGAGACAGGGTCTCCCTGTGCAGTTCAAGCTGGTCTTGAACTTAGTTTGGTTCTTTTGTTCTCTTTTTTGGTACCAGGAATCAAACTCAGGACCTTGCGATTGCCAGTCAGGCGCTTGTGCCGCTGAGCTATATCACCATCTTGAACTTACTTCCCCAGGCTGGCCTGGAACTCACAGTGATCCTCCTGCCTCAGCCTCCTGAGTGCTGGGATTACAGGTGTGAACCACCACATCTGGTTCATTTTAATATTTAATAAGGCAATATTATTCCCACCTAACAGATAAAGAAACTAGGGCAAGAGTTAAGTAATTTGTTCAAAATCATTTAGCAGTCTAGAATAGGATTGCAGCCATAGCTAGTATCTTATCTGAAAATGGAAGTGCTTCATAGAGCTATCAGTTCTACCCCAAACTGTTCTTCCCCTAGTTTTTCCCATTTCAGTGTTACTAGATGACCTACTTGGTCAAGCTCAAAACCTACGAGTCACTCTTCATCTCTCCCAGTCTGAGAAACAGTGAAGATTAATTGAGTAACTGCACAAGAAGACAGAGCATACATGACCCTGAAGTTTGTAGTACAACACTAGCCTGGTGGCACTGGTGGGCACCAAGGCTTTACCTAAAGATGTCCGGGAGGACAAGAAGGCATTAGCTAGCAGAGGAAAGGGAAGTCACTCCAGGCAAATGGGGGAGGCTGTGCAAAGACCCTGAGGTTGAAGAGAGGCTATAAGATTAACAAGACTAAAAGAACAGTGCAGCTAAAGCAAAGAGTAAAAGGGCAGGGTAAGGAGAAGCTGAAGAATGTAGGCCTAAGCCTTGTGGGTCTCAGTGGCCACATTAAAGATCTTGGTCAGGCTAAGACCCAATAGAAAGCCTTTGAGAGGCATAGGGATTGGAGGTAACACAAGCAGATTGTGTTTTGGATTAGCTAGCCTGCAGTGTAAGGAATGGATCAAGGCAGAGACAGTTGGGAGGCAAACGTAAAATTTATGCTAGAGATGGTGTTGGGTAGAGTGCTGGTGCTGAAGACAGGGAAAGATACCCTGGGGAAACAGCTAGGAGGTCAGGTGGACAGGACTGGGGGAAGGATGGGATGTGGCTGGCGGAGGGGGTGTGTGGAGCCATAAATGTAAATTCCCAGGTTCCTGGCTTGTGGAACAGGACTGCTCGGTGAGGTAACCCACTGATACGTGGGCTGGTGTCCCTTGTCATGGACAGGAAGCCACAAGGGAAGGTGAGGCGCACAGACTCCGAGCCAGTACTCTTTGTATAGCTCTCTTCCCTGTGAAAGTTTTCCTCTGGGCAACTTTTAGGGGATTTTGGCTTTGGTTTTAATGAAACTGTTCTCTTACTTCAGAGTAGTCTCTATATACTCTATTCAAATTATCTGAAATGTTTATCAATGATCAGATGTTAGCTGGCAGAGTGACACATATCTGTAATCCCAGCACCCAGGAAGCCGAAGCAAGAGGATCATGCGTCAGAGACCAGCTTGGGCTACATAGCAAGACCCTGTCTTAAAATTAAAAATAAAAAATTTTAGGGCCCCACATAGATTTCTTGTATCAGCATCCACATAGCAGAATCCCAGAACAAGCTCTCTGGGGTTTGACTCCTATGCACACTGAGGACTGAGAATAATAACCTTCCAGTTTTCTTCTGAGCCATATTTTTTTCTGTTCTCCTACTGTCTACACTTTTCTGGGCAGCAGTAGCTATGAGACCATGTATAACCATGTATAACTATGGGGGTGGTAGTACTGATATGATTTAGTGTAGCTATAGAAAGACTACAAAGCATGGGATCAGCTTGTGACAAAGGAACAAAGGTGCTTGACATTTTACATAGGGAACAAGCAGTCTTATGACAGAGCACGGGGTGGTATCCAGTTAGGTAACTATGACAACATTTACAAGAAACAAACCTAAGGAAACAGAAACTTAAGCTTTCAAATGGCACTAGAACACAAAATGGCATTGGTTTAGCTTTCTTTGCAATATCAACATGAACAAGGTGCTGTATGAGGCACTAGTAATACAACAGGCACCATGAAGGAGCAAGCCCTTCCCCTGTATGGGGAGCAGCTGAGCTGGTGACTGACCACACATTCGGGGCTAGAGCAAGGCCAGCCCTGAGAACACGGAGCACCAAAGGCGACTTGTGTGAACAAGTTGTTAGGACTAGAGCAAAGCCAGTCCCGGGGACGTGGGCTTGCCAGAGGCAGACTGTGTAAACAAGTTGACCTCTAGCTCAGAGGCATATCAGCAAGTGTTCAGCCTTAGTGTTCCTCCCTGTTTACCACAGCACAGATAGCTCTGAAAATGTCTCCCCTTCCATGTTCTCAACTGACCACTGAGACCTTGTGATGGAGACCACTATGAAGCAGCTCTGAGC